AAGTTCAAAAATACATAAAACAGGAAACAATTGACAATGTGAAATCGATTGACAATAACAGTTTCCATACAAAGGCAAGAAAACAAAAGTGCTCTATTCAATTAGTTAACAGCTTGTGGAAAGAAGCTGTTAGCATATCAAGATGTCCTGCATCTCAGCGAATGATATCTTCTGCCAGAAAGAAGAAGCTGGAAAATGGCTTTTCCAGGGTGGCCAGAAGAGTCATTGATTATTCTAAGAGCTTGGTTTAAAAGTCTGGATTTATAAAGAACCTCTAGAACAGGGAGCTCACAGCTCACAGTTCTCTTTGCAGAGCAGAGCATCTTGTTAAGAGCTCTCCTTTCTTTGTCTGTGATGTTACTAAACTACACAGTCACAGAACCCACAAGCAAACTTGTCACTACTCCAAGCTCCTCCCATTTGATTAAGCTCCTAACAGAATCTCTAAGGGAGTGCCCAGCCACTCTGCGCAGGAACCTCGTGTGGCCTGCTTGTATCTGAGATCTTGTCTTTTCGATCATTACCCATAGCTTATGACCAGAGATGAGGGTGGGAACATAGCTCAACTGGTAAATTGTGAGATTTTTTTCTTTTGATTCAGCTCCCTCTTCATCACAACAGTCCGATAGAGCTCTGACTGCAGACGTTGCTCCCTCTTCACCACAACGGTTCGATACAACGAACGCATTACTGTACAAGTATTATGTAATGTGATTCTGCATTGTTGGACTCGTTTGTGACCATCTTTAATCGGGTTGTTTCTGTAAATGTCCAATGAGTGATGGACAGCAATAGTCATGGCTAAAATGGAGTGATGTGTGACAGCTGCTCATAATAACACTATCAAATAAACTTAATAGGACAGAAGGACAGATGTTTAGCAGGATGGAAGAATGGAAGGACAGGCTTTGACCTTAACGACAAGTTTTAAGTCAATAAAACCATGCAATCAATACAGACAACACAAAAGACCTTTAAAACCTTTCGCTTTTTAAAATGAACAACTGCCATCACTCTCGAAGATCCCCATCTCCTTCACAGTGATTCAGCTGGAGAAGTCTACAAAGACCAGCTTACCTCCCCAGATGGAAGGACACAAGGACAGAAAGACAGCAGACTGGACTGGACTAATAACTCACTTTGGCTGTACACTTGGAACAGTCGATCAAAATATCAATATGTCAATATAGTTAAACAAAGAGAGCCAAAGCAATTTCCTAGTTTGTGACTTGCTGTTACTTACATGGCAATAAAAATGATTCTTATTCTGATTCTCATTTCATTTCATGTATTGATTTATTTCAAACCTGCAGGTACAGGATACAGGATAACAAAAATACAAAGTCCGCATGGTTTGAAAGGTGGATGATGGATTCAAATGTCAACAATAAGCATTTGTTTAGAATTCAATAGCTGGTGTCTGAGGCTTCTAAGCAGCTGAGAAACAATGGGAAAATTTTGTGTCTGGTTTACACCACGTGGAAGATGGGAACGCGTCAAAAACATGGGACAAAACAAACCTCAAATTTTCAATATAAGTCTTCCAAAGTCATGGTGCGAGTACAGGACCAGAGATAGATCAGAGACCAGAGAGAGAGACCGGTGAGAGACGTAAGAAATAAGAGGGATTAGAGCAAGACCGAAGAAAGACGAGGGAGAGACCATGCAACAGCTCGAACTCTAAAAGTTGAGAGCTTCAATCACCCAAACACAGCTCCACGGCTCGTTAAACTGTCATGATGTAAAGTATTGTACCTTGTGTGATTATTGGAAGTTAGCATCCCGTCCCAAAAAACCTGTAGTTTCATTTTGTGGTGGAGCGCAGCTAAAACATCTCTCTTACAGTATATAGTAACTGCCAAAATCATATTCTACTCTTAGTTAAGAGCTAATTCCTCTGTAATGTAGTTTTACATTTTTGTAATTCCTGGAACAATCCCAATGATGCAAAGACCGAAGTCACAACGTTACATTTTCTTTGTCAGCACATATCAACTGTGGTCTCTCTCTGGTCTCTCTGATCCCTGATGTCTCTCTGGTCCCTAATCTTTCTCTGCTCTCTCTATCTAGCATCTCTGGTCCCAGATGTCTCTTTGGTCCTAGGTCTCACTCTGGACTCTCTGGTCCCTCCCTCGGGTCTCTCCCTCTCTTTTTTGCTTTTTTTGGTCTGAAAGTAAATGTTAAAGATTTTTGTTCATAACATGTCTTTCACAAATGTCTTCTTTACCACAGAGTTGTATTGGTACATGCTGATTTATGTAAGGGCGTATGCAGACTCCTCCGCTGTGCGTTGGGGTCCGATTTGCCCTGTCGGAAATTATTTTTCGATAATAGCCGCGTAACCTGCGTGGAACTTTTACAGGAACCTTCCTCTCCCTCGTTCCTCTTCGTGTCTCCACTGCAGAGCAAGACACTCGGCAATGTGACTTTCAAAAACGAAACTCATTACGCCAAACCCGTTATTATTATAAATCCATGCGCCAAACTTATTTGTTTATATTACAGTCGTAACCGCTCCGGTTCTTGTGGTCTTTGGGTTTTTTTATAGTCCAGTTTTTTAGAACTTTTTACGGCTTGTTTTGGAGTGTGATGAATCCCCAGTGCTTTGAGGTGAAGCTGCCTCAAACTGAATCAATGCTGTTGTTCACTGTTTCCATTGGTGTCTGCTAGGCTAATGCTGGTCGGCATTTGATGTTTGTCCGGTTGTTTTGGTGCTTTCTACTGGCGTCAGAGCCTGCGCTAGCTTTAGCCAGTCAGCGCCAGGTTAACCTCAAGTCCCACAAGGGCCCAACGGAGTACCTAGCATGGAGGAGGTACTCCGTTGGGCGCCGTAAAAGTTCCTGTAAATGGCCCTGTGGGGAAAGTTCCTGCAGTGGAGACACGCACCGACGGGGCTGGCCCTGGAAAATTACCCAGAAGTTCCTGCGATGGAAACGCGGCTAATAACCTGCGCTTATTTATACCAACAGAACACACAACATAAACTTCAGTCCACTTTTAGGAATGCCGAAAGGTTTATTTAATGACAGAAAATAAAATAGTTCCCAAAGGCTTTCCCGTGGCTATGCTAGTGCAACAGTTAGGCTGACAACTTCCAAACTATAACTCTCTGGAACTGCATGAAAACTGAACAAAGAATTCTGAACATCAGCGGTGAGTGACCCATACATAAACCTAACCTAAATCCATAATTCGATCCTCTGCAAATGTGTCCGAAAATGTGCCGGTATCTTAAAATGTGCCGGTATCTACTTCCGGGTTTCTTGGGATCGCCTTTTCTCGCATTACATCAGTGTTTTTGTCATGAAAACGTGAACGGAAAATTCTGAAAACTTCCGTGCACTTGTATTAAGACTGGATATGTATAAATTACTCTCCGATTAACATTTCATTGCGTTGATTGATTGGCATTTGCGTTTATTGAGCGGCCGGAACTACTTCCGGGTTTTTCACGATCGCTTTTTGACGCAGAGAAATAGTATTTTTGTCATGAAGACAAGACCAGAAAATTCTTAAAATTTCCGTGCACGTGTGTGAAGAATGTATATATAAGTATTCTCCGATTAACATTTAAGTGTGTTGATTGAGCGTGGCTAGCTCCAGATTCAGATTCAGATTCATTTATTTGCCATTTGCAGTAAAACCACATTGGAAAAACTGTGCAAGACTACCCCGGAGTGGCCGGAACTACTTGCGGAGTTATCCACGCATTTGAAAGACAAGCAGAGAGTGCGTTGCCATGGGCAGCGGTCATTATTGTTTTGAGAGGTCCGTTATAAAAAATAATGACCGGTAGAACGTTTTGAAATTACATTCAAATCAATGGAGCGTTCTACTGCTGCTGTGAGGAGCCGTATAATAATAATGTATAATGTATTATCCGATTAACAGATTTTGATACTCGGCTTGATCAGGACCAGAACTGGAGCATTTTTGTTTTTTGTGGTAGGGGAAACCGGAGCACCTGGGGGAAACCTATGCATACACAGGGAGAACATGCAAACCCTACTCAGAAAGGCACCTGTTCTGACCAGGATTGAACCTAGAACCTTCTTGCTGAGAAGTACAATGTCGCCAAAGCCGGCTGAAACAGAGGAAGATGTATCTGAAGATGTAAGGCAGAGCAACATCAGCCAACATCATAAAAATGACCCTGGACTCACTCCATTTGCAAACTCACATTATCCAAGACATAAAGACTGTATTACAGCATTTCAAACCAAACTCCAGAGAACTTTTAGAAAACTGAAAATAAAGTACTTTTCTGAAGAACAAAGGCTCCTTTTACTAACAAATCTATGCGGGTCAAATTTGACCCTAACACCACCAACGTAACTATAATTAATATATTTATAGAGTTAGAGAAAAGTTATTTTCTAATATCGATATATTATAGTCAGAAAACATTATTTATGGATTTACATAAAGTATATTATGATTGAAAAAAACAAATTTTCAGCTTAAAAATAAGGCACAAGATCTGTCTTGAGGGCCATTAAATTAAATAAAAAATTTATGATATGATTTTGAATTCATATAATGGTAGTTAAGATGTAGTATTAACTATCTCAAGTGATATTTTGTCTTTTTAGTGGTCAGGACTGAGTTAGACCTCGGGTCAAAATTGACCTGCTAACAACGGTTAGAGGTGCCGGTTCCTAGCACAGCATGAGGGTTAAATGTGTTAATTGTGTTATTTGGGTTTATTTAGCTTCACTTGCCAAGACAGAAGTAGTGACAGGCGACGTGTGAACTTCACACACGTGAAATACAAGGCAATATGCGTTGCCAAGGGCAGCGGCCATTATTAGTTTCAGAGGTCTGGTATCAAGAAATAATGATTGGTAGAATGATTTGAAATTAAATTCAAAGCAATGGAGCTTTCTTCTGCTACTCTGAGGAGCTGTATAATAAATAAATACGGCTAAATAAATTACATAAATATAATTATTTAATTGAACAACTTTCAGTTGCTGAAGTTGAGTTACACTGATTCTTACCATTGTGGTGAGGATGTACTTGTAGAAGGCCGTGGTCATGCCCAGCTCTTTCGCCTGAACACAGAAACACAACATCTAAATTTCACAATGTGTGCACAATGCTTTTGTCTCCTCATTTAAATAACTGTGTGTCTAAAACACTTGTGGCACTCCCGAGCCAATACACACAAACACAGATGTGTACACACTCGCACACACATGCACTGACACACATACAGCAGTCATCATGGAGGACACAGGAAATTCAATAATATCAAACATGGGAGCCATTGGCCCATAGGGAACGGGACGACCACTGCCAATAAATATAAACATTTTCTTAAACGTCTTGGATTACCAATGTTCTTAGACCCTCTTGTATCTCGGACTACAAAAAGTCAGAGCTGAAAGATCTCTGTCTGTGACTAATATGTACTGTCCACAAATGCGAGAGAAGTGCTGTGCTCAACACAGAAGTCTGAAGCTGCTTTTGATCCAGGACTGAGGCCGTAGATCCAGGACTGAGGCTTTAGGTCCAGAAGAGGATGTAGATCCAGGATTGAAGAAGCTCCTAGACGGTGCTCGATGACACATTTTGCTTAAGAGTACTTGACAATTTGGAATATTCTTTTCCAGCCCGCATTTTAGGCCAAACTGCTTTAAACTGGAGAGCTATGTGAGTGTAAGTAAGTAAGTAAGTATTTATTTATATACCGCCTTTTCACTGCAGATCTGAGTCTCAAAGCGGTTTACAATTGTTAATTTTTTGGGCATTTGTCTCTCACTCCACACAGAGATGGGAGCGCGGTCGCCAGTACAGGAGGCGCATGCTAGAACTATTGGACATATTTTTAGTGGTAGGGGAAACCGGAGTACCCGGAGGAAACCTACGCAGACACGGGGAGAACATGCAAACTCCACTCAGAAAGGCCCTGGTCCGACCGGGATTCGAACCCAGGACCTTCTTGCTGAGAGGCGAGAGTGCTATCCACTCAGCCACCGTGCCGCCCAGTGAGTGACAGAGTGGACTGAAGCAGCGTAGGACACTAAAGCGTGTGTTTAAAACTGTCACAAAGCCAAGTATTAGCTTCCATAAACCTTCAGAGACATTTGTATTCAACAAAACTAAAGCCTAAAAACGTCTGGACACTGGGAAAAAATCTGTCATAACATTTCAATGATGTAGTTCTGCAAATGTTTAATTCAGGAGCTTCGTAGACATAAGGATGTTGAAATAATCAGAAATTGTTTAAAGTGTCTACAATTTTTCAGGAGAGACTTGGAAGAGGGTTGCAAGCTACAGGTTGGAGACCCCTAGTTTACTTTACCTAAGATAGTAGAGGACTCCCACCTTTTGTAGGAAGGCAGAGGACACTCACCTTTTCTTTAGCCCCATTCGTACAGGATTAGTATTACCTGTGGACCTCTAGTAGAACATCTGAGACCTTAGTCCTGTGCAAATGCGCCATGTCTGTAATTTGTAAAGTAATGATTCCGCCGCAAAATACCTCCTGTATTTGTCCAAACTTTGCACAATTTCCTTCGGGATCAATAAAGTATATATCTATCTATCTATCTATCAAACACAGACGTCCAGTGATAATACTAATCCTATGCAAATCTGCATGTCAGTGATTGTGATCACTATTGCTGCCTTCTCTACTATCTGCATGGTTTTTTTGTCAATATCTTGCGCCTTTTCATATCTCCTCCCGGCTCGAACCATGGAGGCTGCGGTGGAAATGTTGATTTGCAGTTTTGAAGCTTTTTAGCAGCAAACTCTAATACGGCTTCTACACATCATAAGAGCAGCTAGTGATGAGCGCCTCTTTTCAGGAGAGGTAAGCAACGTCTCACAGGTCTCCTCTAAAGTTTAAATACAAGGGATGTGTGTGTGGAGCTGATCTAATGCCAAGGTCCATCAGCACAATATGTTTTGACTGGGAGACACGTCACTGCGAGGATCCTTTTGGCTGCGTGAAGCGGAGAGACTCACGCACGTGCTGCCGTTATGTGTCCATTATTACTATATGTCAATGAAAATATGGTCATTTACAGACATTGCTTATCCCGTGTGAATGCGCTGTAAGACCTCAGACGTCCTCTACGATTATCACAAATATAAGAGGTCCACAGGTAATACTACCCCCGTGCGAATAGGGCTTATGACGGTGTGGGATGCTGATCTTTCGTAGGATGGCAAAAGACTCTTACGTATGATAGTAGTGGACACTGACCTGTCGTAAGATGTTGGAGGACTCTCACCTTTCGTAGGATGGCGTAAGACACTGAGGCATTGGCGTCAATGATGATTGTTGCCACTTTATCGTCTCGTATTTCTTTGAGCAGCGGCGTTGGGTCCAGAGTCTCGTCTAACATCCGCACTGACAGCGTTTCCCGGGAGATCAGGAAGTGTCGCACCAGCTCCTCCAAACGCAGAAGGCCTACGACAGGAGACAGTAAAGTGGACAGATTGAGGACCAGAGAACTCGCTCTGTGATAAGGTATCACAACTTTAACCCCTCTCGGAGTCTACCTGGGACCCCACCCAGACACAGAGAGAACGTGCAAGCTCCACTCAGAATGGCTCGAGCCACCTGGGATCGAAGCCACAAACAGTGTTCTCTCTAAGCTGCACACGTGCGCAATTGCGCAGCGCTTTTGGGTTCTCAGCGCACACAGAAAACAATATAAAAATCCAGCCGGATAGATGTGGCCGTACAACAAACCTGACTGACTGCTCAACAACAAAAAAGAGTCTTCTGCTGCTGGACACCTGAATTTCTCCTACAGGGATCAATAAAGTATCTGTATATCTATCAAACCAAGTTTTAAGTAGGAAAAGTTTAACTATTTTTAGGAAGGGGTTTATTAAATTTCCTAGAGTTTGTTTTGTCATGTCAGAAACAAATATAGAATGAACACAAGTTACACGGACCGATCATGATCAGGTTAACATTGAACCGAATCATCGTTGGTTGAAGCGGAATTAATTTAAGTAAATGGGATTGCAGCCGATGGACTGAAATGTGAATAGCTTTTAAGAGTGATTTCTTGCTCATAGTGCTACACGTGACGCTCAGGGGGTTTGTGGTTTTGCTCAAACCTCTATTCAGACCCTCTGGATAGACCCAACCCTCTAGCTGTGAAGCATGAGTGCTACCCACTCTGCCACATGCCACCAAATCTGGTGTTCTACAAAAGAAACTACAGCTTTCACAAAAGACGTCTCGGTGGTGTCATGATCTGCTCCTGGAGTGCCCTCCCCCTCCCCTCTTGTCTGCTGTAGTCCTGCTGCTCCAATCAACACACCTGCATTCTCACCTGGGTTCATCTCATCAGCACCAGCACAAAAGGAGCAGCTCTACAGCCACTCCTTGCCAGTTTGTCGCTTCTTTGACACTTGTCAGTCTCTTAGCACTTGGCTCCATCGCTACAGTTGCATTTTTGTATTACTTACCTTTTTCTCCTTTGTCCAGATCTGGATTTTTTACCCACGGTGCCTGCCTGCTGCTTGCCTGCCTGCCCTGTAGACTGCCTGCCTGCCCATACACTTTTTGTAAATGCCTCTGCCTCTGCATTTGGGTCCTATCCAGAACCGTGACAGTACAAACTGGCCAACATGGACCCAGCGGAAGAAGCCCAGGACCGAATCGTCCGGGCTGTATCTAATCAAGGTGCCGTACTTGGTCAGCACGAACAGCTTCTCCGTGGCTTAGTTGAGAGCCAGCAGACTACATCCAACCAAATAGCTCAACTTAATTCTATGCTACAACAGCTAACCACCAACCTTTCTGCCACTGTTCCCCAGCCAGCTTCTCTGGATTCCCATGCTGCAGTAGCCTCACCACCGTCCGTTAAAGAATCCCATGTGCCAGATCCTGACCACTATGCAGGTGATATGGGGAAATGTGCAGCATTTCTGCTTCAATGTTCATTGGTGTTTTCCCAGAAGCCCCGAACTTATGCTACTGACAGATCCAAGATTTCTTTCATAATGGGATTATTACAGGGTAGTGCTTTGGACTGGGCCTCTGCTGTATGGCAAAATAACATAAATATCAGGAACAATTACGATGCATTTGAAACTGAACTAAGAAAGGTGTTTGACCATCCTGTCCAAGGGAGAGAGGCCTCAAAAAGGCTTCTTACCATCCAACAGGGAGCACGCAGTGTTGCTGAATATTCGGTACAATTCAGGACTCTGGCTGCTGAAGCTGGGTGGGACGACACAGCTCTCCAGACTGTTTTTGTTAATGGTCTTTCAGAACAACTCAAGGATGAGTTAGCTGTTAAAGATGATTATTATAACCTTGATTCTCTGATTTCTTCTGCAATTAGGATTGATAACCGTCTTTGTGAATGTCGAAGAGAACGAACCAGTCGCCATGTTCAGTCTACTCCCTTTCGTTCTGCACCACTTCGTAACCCTGCCTTGTCCCCCATAGTTACTGCTGGTCAATCTAGACAACTGGTGTCTGATGAGGAACCCATGCAGGTGGGACGTGCTCACCTAACTCAAACTGAGCGACTGCGCAGGATTACCGCTGGTGAGTGCATCTACTGTGGTAAACATGGACATTTTCTTGCAACTTGCCCATCCCGACCAAAAGAAAGGGCTCATCAGTGAGCCTGGGGGCACTGGTGGGCCAAACTTCCTCCTTTCCAAACCCCAATACAAAGATTTTACTCCCTGCAACCCTCTGTTTTAACAAGATCAAAATGCCTTTGTCTGCTCTCGTTGACTCTGGCGCAGAAGAGAACTTCCTAGACTATAATCTCGCTCGACAAGCTGGTTTGGAGCTGGTGCCTCTGGAAAGTCCTCTGACTGCCAAGGCTTTGGATGGGAGGGTCATATCGCAAGTCACACATCGTACTATACCTCTAAAGTTATTACTGTCTGGAAACCATCAAGAAACTCTCCAGTTTAATATAATATCCTCCCCTCACTCTCCTTTAATCCTGGGTTATCCTTGGCTAAGGAAGCACAATCCCCAGTTTGATTGGGTTGACGCTAAATTAATAAGCTGGAGTTCTATGTGCCACTCATCCTGTCTGAAGTCAACCATTCCACTTGATAACCATGTTGGCGAACAACCTGAACCACCAGATTTAACTGACGTTCCAAATATTTATCATGACCTGGCAGACGTTTTCTCCAAGAGTCGTGCTCTGTCCCTTCCTCCCCACAGACCTTACGACTGCAGCATTGACCTACTTCCTGGTGCTACATTGCCTTCCAGTCGCCTTTACAACTTGTCCCGACCGGAACACGAGACCATGGAAAAGTACATCAACGATTCGCTGGCAGCAGGTATTATCCGTCCTTCATCTTCTCCTGTTGGAGCTGGGTTTTTCTTTGTGGGAAAGAAGGATAAGTCACTCCGCCCATGTATCGATTATAGAGGCCTAAACAAGATTACCATAAAGAATAAATACCCACTCCCTCTCATAAACTCCGCTTTCCAACCCTTACATGATGCCACGATCTTCTCAAAGTTGGATTTAAGAAATGCATACCATATGGTGAGGATAAAAGATGGAGACGAATGGAAAACTGCCTTTAAGACACCTCTTGGGCATTTTGAATACTTAGTAATGCCCTTTGGCCTCACCAATGCACCTGCCATATTCCAAGCTATGGTCAATGATATTCTTCGAGATTTCTTGAATCGTTTTGTCTTTGTATATCTCGATGACATTTTGATTTTTTCATCTTCTCCAGAGGAACATGTGGTCCATGTACGCCAGGTGCTTCAGAGACTATTTGAGAACAAGCTCTATGTCAAGGCGGAGAAATGTGAATTCAATGTCCATTCTGTGAGTTTTTTGGGCTACATAATCGGCAGTGGGCAAGTAAGACCGGATCCATTAAAGACTCAGGCAGTAGTTGATTGGCCCACACCAGAAAACCGTAAGCAATTACAAAGATTCCTCGGCTTTGCAAACTTTTATTGACGTTTTATTCGGAACTACAGCCAAGTTGCAGCCCCCTTAACTCGATTAACATCATCTAAACTGTGTTTTGTATGGGATCCTCCAGCTGAGCGAGCCTTTCAGAATCTTAAAGAGCTATTTACTTCTGCTCCAATCCTGATACATCCTGATCCTAAGGCGCAATTTATAGTAGAGGTTGATGCGTCTGACTGTGGTGTTGGTGCTGTGCTGTCTCAGAGATCACCTTCAGACCAAAAAGTACACCCCTGCGCATTTTTTTCTCGCAAGCTGTCCTCAGCAGAGCGCAAGTACGCCATAGGGGATCGTGAATTGCTTGCTATAAAATTAGCACTGGAGGAATGGAGACACTATTTGGAGGGTGCGGAACTTCCTTTCATTGTGTGGACTGATCACAAAAACTTGTCCTACATTCAGTCAGCCAAACGCCTCAATTCTCGTCAAGCACGTTGGGCACTGTTTTTTGATCGTTTCAACTTCACAATAACTTATAGACCTGGTTCAAGAAATGTAAAACCTGATGCTCTTTCTCGACAGTTTTCACCTACAGACTGTCCTGATCCTGTTGAGACTGTTCTCCCCCCCGCATGTGTGGTTGCATCAATTACCTGGGAGATACAATCAAGAGTCCGTGAGGCACAGGCATCAGAACCAGACCCGGGTAATGGACCGCCTGATTGTTTATATGTCCCTCTTTCTGTACGTTCCCAGGTCCTTCAATGGGTACATACTTCTAACTTTGCCTGTCACCCTGGGATTGGTAGAACCCTCGTTTTGCTTCGTCGATACTTCTGGTGGCCAACAATGGAGAGGGACGCACGAGACTTTGTTCTAGCCTGTACAGTGTGCGCAGGAATAAGGCATCTAATCAGAAACCGGCAGGACAACTCCTCCCCTTGCCTGTCCCCTCTCGTCCCTGGTCGCACATAGCCCTAGACTTTGTCTCAGGGCTACCAGTGTCTCACGGTAAAACTATCATTCTCACAATCATTGATCGTTTTTCTAAGTCTGTTCATTTTGTTGCTTTGGGAAAACTGCCGTCTGCTCGTGAGACTGCGGACTTACTAGTCCAACACGTCTTCAGACTTCATGGGACGCCAGTAGACATAGTCTCTGACAGGGGCCCCCAGTTTATTTCCCATGTTTGGAAGTGTTTCTGTCAGTCTCTAGGTGCCAAAGTGAGTCTTTCTTCAGGATTCCACCCCCAGACAAATGGTCAATGTGAGAGAGCTAATCAGAATTTGGAGGTCTCTCTTCGATGTGTGGTGGCACAGAATCCCTCTGACTGGAGCTTGTATCTTCCATGGGTTGAGTATGCGCATAATTCTCTCCCATCCTCAGCTACCGGCCTATCCCCGTTTGAATGTGCCCAAGGCTACTTACCACCTCTGTTTCCTGAACAGGAGAAAGACATTGCAGTTCCTTCAGTTAAAGACCACTTGCAACGCTATCGCCATATATGGAGTTGCACTCGAGCTGCCCTGCTTCGCTCAGCAGAAAGAAACCGCCAAATCGCTGATAAACACTGTGTGCCACCTCCATTGTACCGAACCGGTCAAAAAGTCTGGCTTGCTGCTAAGGACATTCCTTTAAGGGTTGAGTCAAGGAAACTGGCACCGCGATTTGTTGGCCCTTTCGAGATTGAGAAAGTAATTAACCCAACTGCTGTTCGTTTGAAACTGCCACCTGCTATGAGGATTCATCCGACCTTTTCACGTTTCTCAACTAAAGCGGCTATTAATAGCATCTGCCTCTGTCTGTGCGCTTTAACTGCCGGCACTAGGACCCACTACGTGGATTCGCCCCCTCTCAGCTGTCTTTCGCGCCGATATGAATGACAGCTAGCAGAAGTGATAGAAATGTAAACAATGGCAACGCCGAGCTGCTGAAAAGGGCAAAACCTAGGCCATTCAGTCTGCTGGACCAAGAGTTTGGTTTGTTGTTTGTGAAGGACCGTGCTGTGGTGCACTTTATGCTGTGAAAATGTTGTGTGCAGTACTTCACGTTGTTAAGCGTCATATTGAGCCGACGCACGAGAAGACCTTCCCAGACCACTCAGGACAAATAGAGTCAATTAATGTGCTGGGTCCCAGATATGGAAAACAAGCTAGTTCCTCAGGGTTTATACCACTGCTAAAATCACGGGACAGAAGCAGCTCTCCCTCCCCCCCACCACGACATAAACAACGCCCACCCCAGGCCCCTGATGTTTAGTCATTACGTAAAATTGCACACTTCAATACCATGCACATGTATAGCAGCCAACCTATCTTCTTTTCAAAACAGGGGCAATTCGCTGGGTTTGCTAGAGTTAAAATAAGCAGACATTCATCGCCCAACTCCATTTATAATTTGTAAAACACACGGCAAGAAAGAAAG